ACACACACACACACACACACACACACACACACACACACACACACACTGGCAGCTCACGGCTTGATTCACAGACTCCGAGTATCGAATGAGTTCTGTTTTCTGTCCAACGCCGTGCTCAGAGCCTTCTTCTGTCTCCAGAGCGTCTCTGAGGAATTAGCTGACATCTGATCAGCCAGTAGAGATGCCAGGCATGCACATGGGAGTTACACTCTGCTGCATGACACCTCATATGTATCCCGTTAAGTTTATTAGACAGCTACTGATCATTTTTGTCCGTAGTGTGTCCGGCTAAGTGTCATTTAAAACAGTGTGCTGTCCTTTGACTCGCACATAATCAAATTGTTCAGCGTGGCAGTTATTTACAATAATCTAATCGTGCCGCTGAGCCACACACTTTTTCTTGAGGTATATGAAGCATAAAGGAGTAACACTGTGTGACGTAAGCCTACATACATATCAGTGTAATAATGTAAGGAATACAGTGACACCGTGTTTGACTTTGTTTCTTTACTGGTCAAGCAGAGGTATGGCTGTGAATGTTGATCTTAATATGTGTATAATTAATCACTGTTTTTTTTTTGTCCAACTGCTCTTCATCTCACCAGCTATTATGGCAGAAATATTAATAATTGTACAATAATAATCAACCTGCTTTGAGGCTGAATAACATTAAACGCAACCTGGAACGCTAATATGTTCCCCAAATATTCATTTAGAGTATTGTATGGTACTGAAATTGCTCTTTTATTGGGTTGTCTGTGTGTTCTTCAGCCCCAAACGTCATTTCAGAGCACAGGATCAAAACGTTAGTCAGATAATAAGATATCAGGGCCTCTCGTGGCCACTCATTTCACTACTTGCTCGTCTCAATTTGCCTGATTCTTAATCTTAATATGCGTATCATCATGTCCAAATGAAGAATTCGGATTGTGACAATCTGGACAGTTTAATAATCCTGTGCTCTGAAATATACTTTGCTCAAATTACGACAGCGCCCCTCCCCATATCTCTACCTCTCTCTACCTCTCTATCTCTCTCTCTGTCTGTCTCCCGATAATAACTTACAGGTTCCCCTCCCTTAACAGCAGAATGATCAAACATTATTCTCTCTTTCTGTTTTTTTATTTTAATTTCACCTTCTTATTTATAATTATTTTTCTTTTGTTTAAATTGCTTTTCCCTTTTCTTTTTCTTTTGTTCATATTTTTTTGTTTATATATTTCTTCTTTTTTTCTTTTTCTTTTTTGTTTTGTTTGTTTCCCCCTCCTTCAGATCGTATTGTCTCACTTGCCTATAGCTAAAAAGGTAAGCCTGGTCACATGATTGACCCGCCTCGTTCTGTTTGGCTCCTCCTACTGACATTTCAGCCTAACCTATGCTCTCCTCCGATTCCTCCGCCATATTGTTTCATCTCGACTTTGTTCCCGTCTGTTTTCTCCTGTGTTTTCCACAGTTCAAGCAGGTCTGCATGTGTTTACAGCTGTGTACTGTTTAAAAGGAAGTGTCATCTTCAGCTCATCTGTCGGGTGTAGTTCGGTATGACTCATTGTGGTTAGTTACGAGTGTAGTAGCGGGGCACGCCATGAACGTGTTGTATGTATCTGCACATCTAGCAGAGCAACATGAGCATTCATTTAGTGTCATGTTTGTGTCCACCTATCAGTCTAATATCCACTCTCCTTTTAAGCTCTGCTGTGGTCTCCACCACCTCCTGAGTCTCCTTAGTCACTAACTTTATCCGCCTTGTGTTGGCTGCTGGGCAGGCAGTGTGGATTCCTTTGATCTTACACAAGAAACAGCTCCCTGTGCTGATGACATTCAGCTGGATTGCCTTCCTTGAAATTTCTTATTGAACACTGTTTTTGACTTTTATTCTTTAAAGGAACAGAAAATATATTTAAAAAAACATATTTTCCTCTTGCATGTAGTGCTATTTATCAATCTTTTGTGTTTTGATGTGAGTGTTAGAGGCATCGGTCGTAAAGATGTCTGCCTTCTCTTCAATATAATGGAACTATAAGGCTCTCAGCCTGTTGTGCTCAAAGCTCCAAAATAAATACATTTGAAAAACTCAACACCAATGTCTCTCTCTGGAATCCTGACCCGGTTACGTAAGATAATCCACAGACCTTGTTGTGAGCAGTTTCATGTAGGAACTATATTCTTTCTACCACACTGTGGATTATCTTGAGTAACAAAGTCACAATTTCCAGGTTTCTCAATCGTACCCAATCGTCGCTTTGAGCACAACAGGCTGAGAGCCTTATAGTTCCATTATATTGGAGAGAAGGCAGACATCTTTACTGTCCAATACCTCCAACACTCACATCAAAACAAGCTAGATTGATAAATAGCACTACATGCAAGAGGAACAATATGTATCTTCTGATTTTGAGGTGAACTGTCCCTTTAAGCACTAGATCAGCTTCATACCAAGCTACACTCAGTGGCATGATGAAAGTGAGACGTCCTTGTTACAACGATGTGAGCTTTCTGCTCTTTGGCCTTCTCACTCACTCACTCACTCAGTCATTCTCCTGTTTGTTCTGTTTACCTGCGCTGTCACACTGACCTGGTGAAACTTTACCTCTAACCTTTTGTATGCTCCTCTCTTCCTGGTTATGATACGATGTACCTCTGTACACACACACACACACACACACACAATGTGTAACTTTAAACTAACATTTCAGTTGTGTTTCTTCTTCAGTATACTTGTTTGTATTGTAACATCTGAAATAAGTAAGTTAGAGGTGGGGATGAGCAGAATGAAGCATACAGACAATGAGGTTCAGATATGTTGTGTGTGTTGTCAGTGAGTTTGTTGTGTCTTTCCATTCTGTCCATTGAATGTATTGTTTTTCTCTTTTGTGTGTGTGGCAATATCTTATTCTTTATTTTTATTCATTTTTCCATTTTCTTTCTTTTCTCTGACCATCCCTCCTTCACGGCTCCTTTGTCATCTCCTCTTTTTATACCTTCTCTCTTCTCCTGTTTCCTCTCTATTTCCTGTCTATTTCATTTACTTCCCTTTCTCTATCTTCTGTATCTCTCCTCTGGTGTTTCATTCTTTCCTGTATCCTCCTCGCTTCCATCTTCTCGCCTCTTTTTGTTACCGGCCCTCCTTTCCTTTTGTTCCCTCTCCTTTCCTTTCCTTTTCTTGACTCTCCTCCTCCTCCTCCTCCTCCTCCTCCTCTAGAGGAGCATAGTGTTATGTATATGATGGTCCCTAAACCACTAGACAGCTTTAACCTGCTCAGGGTGAAGGGGAAGGGTCTGAAGCAGAAGGTCCTTCATGCTAGCTGTGAATGGTATGTTTAAAGACAGAAGATAGCCCAATAATTACATTTTCTGTTTCTAGTCTAGTTTCCAAACATCTCATATAGAAATTACTGCAAAGATTTCCAATAAAAAAGAAAAAGTACTAAAGTGAAAATGTAGGCAGAAATGAGCATCTCTTGACTAACGTGTTGCTAATATCAGCTGTAACGTCGGATCACCTTTAAAAATCCATGTGATGCAGGATAAGTATGCAAACCATTTGTAACGACGCTGTTTGGTCAAATGTCAGTATTTATGAATCTTGTAGAGTGCAGTTTAAAAAGCTGAATCTACCTCTGAGTCCGCTACCACAGAACATTAGAACTGAAAGCTAGACGGAGCTGCTCATCCGCTGGAAAGCGAACAAGCAATAAAAGAGCTGAGCTCCAGAGACGAGTCGGCTGATATTCTAAGTGTAGATGGGAGCAACTAGATCCTGACACTCGTCAAGCACATGTTGCCTCTACAGCGGATGTATTCAGCTAAAGGCAGGTGTTATACATTCGATGTCAAAGTTCATTTATGTAGCTTTTAATGTCACACATGGTCTCAGAGGTACTCGCATCTTAAAACAGTCTCTGTTGTTCTATGAGCTTTTAGGGATTTAGAATGAATGCAGTATGTTGTGTGTTCTTCGAGTCTGTGTCTGTCTGTCCTGTCTGTGTAAGTTTGTGCAGTCCGGGTCAGTAGAACATCATGGGGCAGGATGCATTTTACTTATTGTCCCTTCTTCCTTTTCATTCTCTTGTTTGCCTCCTCCCTCCTCTCTTTTATCCCTCCCTCCCTGCCCCATCAATCCATCCTCCTCACTCGCCCCTCGACCCACAACTCCCCCCCTGCCTCCTCCCCCTCCCCCTCCACAGGCTCCTGCCTAGAGATTCTTCGGGGAGAAAGTCCGGCTCTTGGGGAGGCCGGGAGCGACTCGGCATCCCCCATGTCTCCTCGGACTAGCAAGAGCCGCATGTCCATGAAGCTGCGGCGCTCTTCTGGATCGGCCAATAAGACTTAAGCTCTCTAGATTTTCGCGGCCGATCAAGCAATCAGACACTTTTGGTCTACATTTTGTGCTCAAAAGTAGGCGAAAACAGACTGTGGTGGAGAAATCCACATGGATGTTTATTTCCAACAGGAAAAAGACCGATGGGTGTTGTTCTCAGGAAAGAGCGTCGCCATCTGGGGTGTCAGTAGAATTTGACGCTTCGTCACACAGTTGTACTCTCAAAAAACACATGTAAAAGTATTCTGTGGAGTATTTAACACTAACTTTATTTAGAAATTGCTCACAGCTGCTGAATATATCCTTGGCTTTGCTCTTAAAAATACAAAAAAAACTGCTGATCTTCATCGTAGACGCAGCCGAACGAGTGCAGCACTAGTCCATCATGATCCGTGCCATGTTAGAAATCGCAAAAAAAGCTCAAGTGTGCCACGTTAGATGCTGTTCGTTTTGGAGAAGCGCGTCCATCGAGGTCAAAACCGCAGAACAAAGAGAGGTTGAACGCCGCTATGTGGAATCTGTATATTTGTACGATAGTCAGTCCGTGTGTGTGTGTGTGTGTGTACAGACAGAACTATGAGTTTTGATATAAAAAAATAATGCATTTCTGAACGATTGCACCTTCAGTGTTGCATGGAGAAAGCGAGATAAAAGTATATTTTTGTTCTCAGTACAGCATTAGGCCTACAAAGATAAGGGCAGGGGTCTGTTTGCTATTCAGTCCTCATAGAATGTAAATAGAAACTCTTTCGTTTGCTAGCTATAAAATGCGGCATCACTCTAAAGCCCAAAATGTTCTCCAGAAGAACAATCCCCCTCCTTCAACTCCCTTTGAGCAAAGAGATGTGAGAACCAGTGTCGAAGGAATGATGGAGGGATTGTTTGTCTTTCACAATGCAGAGAAAAGCGCTTTGTTGAAAAATGATTGATCAAAGAGGAAGCACTTGTTACATAAAGTTAAGTGTCGACTTTCTTGTGCTCATGCTGTAAAATATGGACAGAGCACTGATGTTCATTGCATTTATGTTCCTTGTGTTTTTTCTTTTTTTTGTTCCTTTTATATATATTCTGCATATCTATATATGTATGAGTATGAATATATAGGTATATATATATAGTAGATATATAAATATCTATAAGGTTGTGTACATACTGTTATGTGTGAGAATAGCTGCCAAAGTCCAACTGGTTTATCCTCAGAACACATTATCTGCTTAAAACAAACACTACAAGATGTAATGCTTTCAGTTTACTCTTCATCCTCTCTGAATTTAAAGGTAATTCTAATTGTATCTCAAGTACTCTTCTTCACTGCTGATATGCGTAACCTTGGTACCACTGTGTTTTAGGCCATCATATTCCTGGTTTTTCATTGTTTGACATATTGCTAAGTGAGGCCAGAGGGAGGAAGGAAGGAGGAAAAACAAAGTGTTTAAAGGAGAGATACTGTAGAACCATGGCCAACGAGGGGGGAGGGGGGAGGGGGGGCAGGCAGGCAAAGGAAACACCATCACTTAGAAATAAACGGTTTTAATCCCGCTCTTAAATTTCGACTCTTCCCCGGTTCCAGCTGTGGATGGAGGGGATCCGCATGTCATCACAATCCAGAAACCGTGACGCTACGCTCATGTGTTAACGTTTCAGATCGGCTTCCATCGTTCTTTTCCGGGTTTCTCTTCATTAATGGTCTCAGCTGTGGTTCCTTCAGGGTTTATCACCATTGAACCTTCATCCGTTTATTTGACATGAGTTCCTTTTCCTCCTGTCTGATCTAAAGGAAACACGCATGTACTGTATGAAATGTTTGCATTTGAAAATATAGATCTGAGTTAAAGGTTTTGCATTATGCTTCACTGCTTAATGTGTGTGTATTCACAACTGTATTTTCTGTTACTCTTTCATTGTCTTTACTTCAGCCATAGATTCTCCAGAGAGGAAAGGGATTGTCACACTTGTTTTAACCCCTCTGTGGGGTTGAAATTGTTAAATATTTGCCAGTTTAAAAATGAGGTCAAATTGTGTTATTTTGTCTGTGGATATTTAAAGTCAGCTGAGATTTGAGTGTTCCCGTTAAATTATTGCTGTTACGGTTATTATTATTATTATTATTATTGCCGAGGTTGAAGAAGCACCATTGATTGGTTGCGACACGTGGTCAACTAGCCCCACTGTACTCTGGGAAGGATCTGTACATGCTGTATGCAGACCCGCGTCTCAATATCTTTTGGGTCTCAACATTACTTTGGCTTTGGATTAAAATACTAGTGACTCTACTTGAGTCATGATGCTGCTTTCATAGTACCCTGAAGAAAGATTCAGATAAAAAGGATTTCAACTCCGTTGTTTCACTTAAATAAAAAACCCTGATTAGCAAAACCAAAATGTATAGAAAACCTAGGTTACCCAAAGCCTTTCAGCATTCTAACGAATCCACACCAGCCTGAGGACTGTCTGTCTAGGAAGATTGTTCGGGTAGAAAAGTATTAGTCCGCCTTATTGACCCAAATCTGACATTTTGGTTGTCTGTAGTCTGTTGCCATGTCGACCACACACAAACATGTATGTAACTTCTGCGCCTGCGTGGATGGATGCTCTGAGCGAGAGGGCCGTGATGGGTACGGGGTTCAGCTGTTGTCAGTTGGGAGACTGATGTATGTAACTACTGACTGTACATACTGCATGACGCCGGTTCAGTACTAACCGCATGTGTTGATCATGTAACAGCTGTATCTTAACACACACACTTCCTGGATGTTACTGTCACACCTGTAGTATGTAGACCTGTAATGGCTCTTTTGGACACCGAAGAGAGCGCAGATGTGCGATGGTGGAGTTTGACAATAAACGATTCGTACCACTTGACAGCCGGACCCGTGTGTGTGTGTGTGTGTGTGTGTGTGTGTGTGTGTGTGTGTGTGTGCGCACACCAACTTTGAAACCACATGAATGAGTACTGTCTTAACATTTATTGACAATAATTTAGAATAAATATCACATTCAACTTCAGAGATATCAAAATAGTACTGGTTTCATAGAACCACAATGATATTTTAGCATCATGAAGGCATTTAGCAAATATTTCAACAGTAATGAATAATCAATAAAGACAAAAGACTTTTTTTTAATTAGCACTACACACATTAAATGTTCCATTTCTGTATGAAAATATTTTGTAGCTCTTGAAACTTACTGGCACATTTACTATAAAAGGCATATTATGGTCTATCTGATTATTTTCTTTTTATGTTTTATTTGTTTTTGTTTTATTGTTCACTGTACATGAAATAGAGTTAGGACATTGGTTCTGTCTCCGGTTGGTGGGGTAAGGAAGGTCACTTTCTAAATGTAATTACAGGTCACTACATTTTACATCAGTACGTAATGTAACACGCCCGCTCCACCTGAGCTTCGGTGTAATGTGATTACTTTGCCACAGAACCATGTCGACCGTGAGTTTAAACATGTAGAGAGGCGTGTGTCGATCTTGGCTTCAGTACATTCAGCGTACAATGGCCCCCTCTTGCTCTAATTAGTCATAATTAAATTACCCTTTCTGTCAAACTTCAGTCTGGCCTGTTCTCTCAAGTGTTCACTAATTGTAACAGTTTAGTTGCTGTGATTAAATGTCAAATAAGTTTACAGACAGTTGGGCATAATATGACAGGATGCAAGAGAAGCCGAAAAAGAAATGGCCTCCTGTGGCAAAACAGGATATATATATATATATATTCTCTAAATGAGAAAAGAAATATAGAAACAATGTCTGACTTCTGATTGTATTACTGGCCGTACAAATTCAATATTGACAAATAATGCGATTTGCTCTCAAGATTTCAACAGAAGAAATAGCCATTTAGAACAAGGGTCACTTTAATTTGCATCCAGTTTAATGTTTAATTGTTATAATAATCCTGTTATTTTATTAAATCATCTTAGATCACCTGTCCAGCGAATTAAAATGTACTTTTTATTTTTCTTCCAAAAAAAAAAAAAAAGCTGTAAAGACTGAGCAACCTGTGGAAGATAACGGAGGTGCGTTTGTGGACATGGTGTCAGTTTGTTTGTAATAGTTTCCGTAGGTCAGTTATTTAGTTTAGTTTCAGCACCATGGACAGTTCCGCTTCTACTGACACTGTCAGCTAATTGTCTAGTTTACATTTGCTTTTGGGTTATCAGTCTCAAGACCATAAACAATGTGTGCATCGTTTTGGCGTCAGTAGATCATAACTATCTTTGTGAAACAATTGAGCAGTCAAGAGGCTCACTGAGCTTTAAACAAAACTCACCCGTAGTCCGTATCCTGAAACATACAGTGCGTTTTTGCTTTTTGACCACAACTGAACCCAACAGGCCTCCGTCACAATCTACAATACAACCATAGCTGAATTAAATGTACTTCATAGTTAGGTTCCTCATAATGATGGTCAATAACTGGTTATTTTTCATGTGTTTCTCTTGGCCCGTCTCGCGCTCGTTTTACGGTCGCACGGTCATCTGCAGCAGCATCACCTGCCGGTTCTCGGTGGGCTGGGATTTGTTGATGTGTCTCGCGAGCCCCGGGGAGCTGAAGAAAGTGGACGGACAGTGCTTGCACGTGAAGATCTGCTGCTGCTCGCACTCCCCGCTGCCGCTCTCGCCTCCCTGCGCGTGGAACACGTCTGGTCTGAGTCCTCCTCCCAAAGTTCCCGCCAGTAACTCGTCCCTCATCGCGTGCCACAGACGGTGCTTGTCCCTGATTTCCGCCGACGGGAAGCGCGCGCCGCACAGGTGACACAAGAACACCTGGCTCTGTCCTCCGCCTGTCTCGCGCGCCTGCCCGTAAGATGGCGGGTTGGGAGACGCTCGCGCTGTCGTCTCGTGCGCAGCCAGGTGTTTCTTTAGGTAAGGCTGTCGGCGGAATTTCTTCCCACAGTACCGGCACTCGTACACGTCGTCCACCGGTAACGACTGGACAAACGGCAAAGGAGGATGCGGAAGCGACGGCAGGTCCGCGCGCTCGTCCGGGTTGCCGTTTAACAGAAGCAGGCTCGAGGGTGGACTGTCTGCCGCCCTCACCTGCTCCTGAAGGTCCAGACAGCTTTCGGCCGGATTCCGGTAATGAAGCGAGGAATCATAGTGAGGGGGCGCGAGGCTGTCTCCGTCGGGGTTGTCCCGTGAGCGACCGTGGAACAGCAACAGGGAGGGCTCGCGCCTGACCCGGGAGCTGTCCAGCGCTCCGTGGTGCTGGTTAGCGTTTATGCGCAGCAGCTCGTTCTCTTTGCCCTCCATCTCTACCGGCTGCCTCTCGTGCTGAACGAGACCTCGTGCTTCTTTCAGCGGCTGGCTCTTGTTTGTCTGAGTCTCTCCACCTTGGCCGTTTACCGGACGAGGCTTGTGCCAGCGGCGGTGGGATGCCAAGTTGGCGGGACAGCTGAAGACTTTGTCGCACTCGGGACATCGGTACTCCACGCGCACTATGCGGGAGCACTTGTGCTGCGCGAGGGAGAAAGGGTCGGAGTACTCCTCTTTACAAAGCTGGCAGATGTACTCTCCGAGCGGCTGGTTCCCGGTGGGAGCGGACGACCTCTCCCGCTGTCTCCTCTGCTCGGGAAGCTCCTTCTTGATCCGCAAACCCAACACCGGCGAGGTCATGACCTCGTCTTCGAAGTTCAGCTTTCGGTTCACTTTGGGTTTCTTTGACGGGTTGCCCGCAGGCTGTTTGCTGTGTCTGTTGCCGTTCAAGCGTTGATCCTGCTCGAGGAACGAGCGCTTCCTCGCCGCGTGATGCTGCTCTGGGTTCACAAGTGTCAGTGGCGGGAACAAGTGTACATGACCCATGCTCGGGTCGTATTTGTCATTGTGACCGTAGGACGGTGCGTTGCGGCTGCCGCTCGCGAGGAGCCTCTCAATGGAAGGGGACACTGAGGTCGGCGTGGAGCTCACCAGGAACGGCAGCTCCGGTAACCCCGGCACCGGGGAGGATGTCAGGCACTTCCCGGGGAACAGCGGCTGCTTATATCCCTCGTGGTGGTGGTGATGGTGGTGGTGGAGGTCCAGCAGTCTCGTGCCGACCGGTTTAACGGGGCTGCAGGACTCTGTTGATGTCACGTCGCGTGGGGGTAGAGGAGGAGGTGGGAAGAAGCAGGAGAAGTCACTATCGGGAGTCAGAACGTCCACCTCGCTCACCTGGCCCTCGGTCTCCGGTAATTGTGCGCGCCGGTCCGCCTCCGCCTCCAGCGCGGACTCCACGTGCGGGCTCCACGCCTCCCTGACAGCGGCGGAGTCTCCGCGGGACACCGGGAGCAGTCCATCCGGCCGTCCAAACGGGAACACAATCAACACGTCGTTCCCCTCCACTGCCTCCGGTATTGTCGCTTCACACTTACCGCTGCTATTCTGGTCACCGTAATATGCTTCGGGTTTGTTATTACTGTTATTCCGTGACCGGTACGACGCCGGACATCGCCGGTTTCTCTTCACCAAGAATCCTCGAGGCATGGTGGTGGTGGTGACGATGATGCTCGACACCGCCAGGCGGAAAGAACAACTCTTGTCTCGAGCCCACTTTCAAGTAGAGCTGTGAAGTGGCGAAGTTAGAGAGAGGGAGAGGAGGAGGAGAGAGAGGGGAGGGGGGCGCGCGCGCAGGTGTGTTGATAGCGAGAGAGAGCATTATCCGTGGTGCGCGTGTACGTTTTTATTCACCAGTCTCTCTCTCTCTGTCTGTCACACACACACACACACACACACACACACACACACACACTTTTCGTCCAGGGCCAGTATCAGCAGGCTTTATTAGTTGGCTAATTAGCGTAAGCCTTTTTTTATTTATTAAATATCAATAAATCAGTAGTAACATTTTGAGCATGAATGTTAGTGTGTAGCTACTTATCAAGTGTTTTAATTACAGAAGCCATTAGAGATGAATACCCTAAAATAAACAGTTGGTGGCTCATTGGGTACATCGTAAAAACTATAGGTTATAATTTATATTGAATGTACGTTTTCATTTTTATGGGACCAGCATTGTTTTACTGTACCTAACTCTTCTTCTGTCATAATGTGGCTCACTTGAGATAAAACGCTATTTTATATATTTAGTTTTTATAAATATTGTTGGAGAACAGCTGTTTTTAACTCTCATGTTGTCACAATAAGGAAATAAGTGGGTTCACATCTAATGTCCGAGGTAGTCAGGAAGTTTGCATTATGGTTAAAATTTATAATTCATTATTAATATTACTCGCACTTATAATATCACAATCACTGAGTCGTTGTAATCAGTGGAATTTTGAGTTTTATCAGTTATTTTAGTTGCTGGGGTGTGAAATAACATATTGCTGTTGATGAGCTTCCGCCGCTGATCTTTTCCTCTCATTTTCTAGGAGCTGATGTGCTTTCACCTGTCAGAAAACCTGGTCCGGTGTGTGTGTGTCGGAGTCGGTGTAACTATAGAAACAGCCCCCGTGGGGATACAGATCATACATCTTTAAGAGTAAAATAATGACTGTTTCTGTCCCGCTAAAGTATTTGTGTGTGTGTGTGTGTGTGTGTGTGTGTGTGTGTGTGTGTGTGTGTGGACTATTCACACCCGTCCCACTAGAAGCTGCACTAGCTGATAAGAGATCGGAGGGATATTCATCTATCTATCCATCCGTCCTCCCCCCCGGGGCTTGGCCGGCCCCTCCGCGCAGGCCAGGCGGTCTCCAGCTCGGCCAGTGGGATCAGGCCAGCCGGCGTCGCTCCCTGGAAATCAATCAAGGCGGATGAGCGTGAGAACGAGCTCGAGGGTCGGGCTGCTGGCTTGACGAGGGCCGCCTGGGGAATAGAAATGAGAATAGAGAAGGGGATTGGTGGTGGAGGCTCCAACACTAAAAACTAATTAAGCACCAGGCTTATCTGGACTTTTATTTGGGTGGTTTTTCACTGTAATTGTCAGCTGCTAATGTGTCCCACAGAGAAACCTTGACCCTGGTTCAGCCGGTATTGACCCGACTGACTGAACGTGAGTGATTGAGGCCTCTGTCAGATTATTTTCACCCCACTTTGTATCGCATGGAAGCCCGTTTATATCAGGACAAAATAAAAATAAATAACAGCAAACGTTGTAAATTATTTACTTTAAAAATAAATACTGATAGTCCAAACAATAATTATTTTCTCTATTATCTAATCATTTTCACTTGTTCTCTAACCTAAAGTCAAAATTGTGATTTATTTCACATTACTGTATTACATTTGCTCATAATTAACTAACTAAATTATGACGGCATCACACCATATTAGGGATATGTTCACTGTTAAGTTGATGCACATCATGTATATTCACGGATCATTTCAAATCAAATGACCGTGTGATGATAACTAAGACAAAGGAGTGCACTGGGACTCAGAGCTCTGCCACGAGGATAGTGGCATATTCTAGTGGGGGGGGGGACAGAGACAGAGCAGGCAGCTTTCAGTAGTTTAAAAACAGGAGAAATGTTCTCAAGTCGATGTCCTGTAAAAACAGTTATGGATCCACAGACATGGGGGGGGAGGGTGTTGGCTGGAGGACATGAAGTGTGTGTGTGTGTGTCTGTGTCTGTCTGTGTCTGTGTCTGTCTTTGTGTCTTTGTCTTTGTCTTTAGTTTGCATCGCATCAGTGGGCAGTGAGGTGGATAATCCTCCAGACTGCTGAAAATGACTCTATTGATCTGTGCTTCTCAGTCACAAGCCTTTAAGTACTGCAGTATTATACAGCTCAGCTGTCTGTCTGGGAACTGTATTTGTACATTGCGTCTGTCTGCGTGTGTGTGTGTGTGCGCGCGCGCGTCTGATAGAAAAATAAGGAAACCTGTTAAATGAAGGTATTTCACTGGTTCTCGTCTAATGAGAGGACTGTCAGTTTAGTTTTAGGACTTGAGTTAATGGTTAAATGTAGCTTTCACTTAGTGCCACGTGTAGAATGTCCACCGGCTTGCTGATCAGCTCTTAAGTGATGAGGGCGGAAAATAAAAGCACTGAAATCATCCATGAACTCCTATCAACTCTTCGTTACCATGCTGAGAGTTAAAGACAAACAGCAGAGACCTGTAACATCCCAATAAAGCGGTCATCTGTCGCCATCTAGTGGTACAGAGTCACAGCACCCATAAGGTTAGTTTGAAGCTGTTATGTTGGCTTGTGGTAGATTATTATAATACAAATAATATGAATAATAATAATCACTAGAAAATTCCTAAAGAAATTTTGACAGTGTGGCCTCTACTGCCCGAAGACGTCGCAATATATAGCTACACACGCCGATGTTACCGGTAGTATCGTTGAGCTTTGATTGATATATCGCTTCTCTCTTTTCTGCATTTTAGATTCATACTCTTGGATTGAATCTTGTATTCGTGATGGACAGTCCACAAATGGCTCCCGTCATTTCTGTACTGGACATAAACATCTTTGTTTGAGAAGCCTTTGGAAATTATGGGAGCTAACGCTCCCATAATTTCTGTATTTA